GGGTGGAGGAACTTGACTGTCCTGCACAGAGTCCTGACCTCAACCCCATAGAACACCTTTGGGATGAATTAGAGTGGAGACTGTGAGCCAGGCCTCCTCCCCCGACATCAGTGCCTGACCTGACAAATGTGCTTCTGGAAGAATGGTCCAACCTTCCCATAGACACCCTCCTAAACCTTGTGGACGGCCTTCCCAGAAGAGATGAAGCTGTTATAGCTGCAAAGGGCGGGGCCAACTCAATATTGAACCCTACGGACTAAGACTGGGGGGGGCCATTAAAGGTCATGTGCATGGAAAGGCCGGCAGCCAAATACTTTTGGCAATATGGCGTACTTTATTTTAGGCAAAGTGGGGGTTATTTACTAAAATTTGATAGAGTGCAAAATCTGCTGCAGCTCTGCATAGAAACCAATCAGCTTCCAGGTTTGTCAAAGCTTAGTGGAACAAGCTGAAGGTAGATAGTGATTGGTTCCCATGTACAGCTGCAGATCATGGCTGGAGGGAAAGGTGGGCAGGGTGCTATATTTCGCTACCTGAAAGCATCCCAGCCCCCCACCCCACCTCAGTACTCCTTCTCAAGAGCCCTCAGTCCTGATCCTAGCAGTGGGCTGGAATCAGGGAGCAAATATCCAAATGCTTTGATGGATAGATGTCAGTCTGGAGGAGTGGGTGTTCCTAGGTAGGCTACATTTGCATAAGCCACGCCCATATGTGATGTCGAGTATCCACAATTAACCAGTTTCCTCCGAAAAAAAAAAAACGGCTACACAGCGCGGTTGTCCAGTTCTGGGAGGGCGTCCATGGACATCCTCCCAGGCCACACCCCCAGCGTTGCGGTGATCGCTGTGTCCTACAGACACAAGCTGATCATGTGTGATACGGTAAACGGACATCACAGCGGCCTTTTACCACGTGATCAGCTGTGTCCAATGACACGCTGATCACCGGGGTAAATGCAGTTGCCGGTTATCGGCTGCACTTTTCTCACGCCATCACAGCATAAGGAAAGTACTGCCGATAACTGGCAATTGTCAGAGAAGTGGTCGGCACTGATCATCTGTGCCCTGTTGATCAGTGCCGCCCACCCGTACCCGATCATCAGTACTACCCCATCTGTGCCCTGATTTGTGCCACCCAACTGTACAACATTTTGTGCCGCCCCACCTGTCCCCCATCAGTACTACCCACCTGTGCCCATCAGTACTACCCACCTGTGCCCATCTGTGCCACCCAACTGTGGACCCATCAGTGCTACCCACCTGTGCCCATCTGAGCTGCCCAACTGTACCCATCAATGCCACCCACCTGTACCCATCAGTGCCACCCACCTGTACCCATCAGTGCTAGCCACCTGTGCCACCCAAACTGTACCCATCAGTACTACCCACCTGTGCCACCCAAACTGTACCCATCAGTGCCACCCACCTGTACCCATCTGTGCCACCACCTGTACCCATCAGTGCTACTCGCCTGTGCCCATCTGTGCTGCCCAACTGTACCCATCAGTGCCACTCACCTGTGCCCATCTGTGCCGCCCAACTGTACCCATCAGTGCCACCCACCTGTACCCATTTGTGCCACCCACCTGTACCCATCAGTGCTACCCAACTGTGCCCATCTGTGCTGCCCAACTGTACCCATCAGTGCCACCCACCTGTACTCATCAGTGCCACCACACCTGTACCCATCAGTGCTAGCCACCTGTGCCACCCACCTGTACCCATCGGTGCAACCCACATGTGCCCATTGGTGCCAATCGGTGCCCATCAGTGCCACCCACCTGTGCCTAGCAGTGCCACCCACCTGTGCCTAGCAGTGCCACTCACCTGTGCCCAGCAGTACCACCCATCAGTGCTGCCCAGCAGTACCACCCAGTGTCCACCAGTGCTGCCCATCAGTGCCGCCTATCAGTGCTGCCTACAAGTGCCGCCTATCAGTGCCCATCAGTGCTGCCTCATGAACGCACATCAGTGAAGGAGAAAAATTACCTGTTTGCAACATTTTATAATAGAAACAAAAACTTTTTTTTTTTTAATTTGTTTTGCTATTTTTTCGTTTGTAGCGCAAAAAATGAAACCCCCAGCGGCGATTACATACCACCAAAAGAAACCTCTATTTGTGTGAAAAAATGCTAAAAATGTCATATGGGTACAGTGCTGCATGACCGTGCAATTGTCATTCAAAATGCGACAGCGCTGAAAACTGAAAATTGGCCTGGGCAGGAGGGGGGGGGGGGGGGGAGTGCCCGGTAGGAGAGGGGTTGAAAAATTTAAATTCAACTAAAGAAAGGGGCGGGTCAGGGACAGTCAGACTGGGGAGGAAAGAGATAGATGATGAAGAACGTCCACCAGCCAGGAAATGAGGCGGAGCTCTATATGACTTGCTGCAGCCTTCTAATGCAAATTGTAAGAAGCTCACAGTGTGCAGTGAAATCTGAGCAAGTGAATTTTCAGAACAGGAAGGGGAGCCTCAACAATCAGGTAAGCCTGAAGGGAAGGGCTGGAGTTCAGCTTTAACCACTTCCAGTCCGGAACACTTTCCCCCCCTTCCAGTCCGGATGCTTTCCCCCCTTCCAGTCCGGACACTTTCCCCCCCCCCTCCAGTTTGGACGTTTCCCCCCCTTCCAGTCCGGACACTTCCCCCCCCCCTTCCAGTTTGGAACACTTTCCCCCCCCTTCCAGTCCGGACACTTTCACCCCCCCTTCCAGTCCCGCTTTCCCCCCCTTCCAGTCCGGACGCTTTCCCCCCCCACCCCTTCCAGTCCGGACACTTTCCCCCCCCCCCCCCCTTCCAGTTTGGACACTTTCCCCCCCTTCCAGTCCGGACACTTTCACCCCCTTCCAGTCCGGACGCTTTCCCCCCCCCCAGTCCGGACGCTTTCCCCCCCTTCCAGTCCGGGACGCTTCCCCCCCCCCCTTCCAGTCCGGACACTTTCCCCCCCCCTTCAAGTCCGGGACCATTTTCCCCCCTGCCAGTCTGGACGCTTTCCCCCCCTTCAGTCCAAACACTTTCCCCCCCTTCCAGTTTGGACGCTTTCACCCCCTTCCAGTCCGGACGCTTTCCCCCCCTTCCAGTCCGGACGCTTTCCCCCCCTTCCAGGCCGGACGCTTTCCCCCCCTTCCAGGCCGGACGCTTTCCCCCCCTTCCGGTCCGGACGCTTTGCCCCCCTTCCGGTCCGGACACTTTCCCCCCCCCCTCCGGTCCGGACGCTTTGCCCCCCCCGGTCCGGACACTTTCACCCCCTTCCGGTCGGACACTTTCCCCCCTTCTAGTCCGGACGCTTTCACCCCCCCTTTCCAGTCCGGGACACTTCCCCCCCCCCTTCCAGTCCGGACACTTTCCCCCCTTCCCCCCAGGCCCTTCAGCTTTCAGCGCTGTCACATTTGAATGACAATTGTGCTTTCATTTCACCCCCTTCCAGTCCGGACGCTTTCCCCCCCCTTCCAGTCCGGACGCTTTCCCCCCCTTCAGTCCGGCTCCCTTTCTTTCCCCCCCTTCCAGTCCGGACGCTTTCACCCCCTTCCAGTCCGGACGCTTTCACCCCCTTCCAGTCCGGACGCTTTCCCCCCTTCCAGTTCCGGTCCGACGCTTTCACCCCCTTCCAGTCCGGACGCTTTCACCCCCCCAGTTCCGGTCCGAACTTTCCCCCCCCTTCCGGTCCGGACGCTTTCACCCCCTTCCAGTCCGGACGCTTTCACCCCCCTTCCAGGTCCGGACGCTTTCCCCCCTTCCAGTCCGGACGCTTTCCCCCCCCCCCTTCCAGTCCGGACACTTTCCCCCCCTTCCACGTCCGGGGCGCTTTGCCCCCCTTCCAGTCCGGACGCTTTCACCCCTTCCGGTCCGGACACTTTCACCCCCCTTTCCGGTCCGGACACTTTCCCCCCTCTTCCAGTCCGGACACTTTCCCCCCTTCCAGTCCGGACACTTTCCCTCCCTTCCAGTCCGGACGCTTACACCCCTTCCAGTCCGGACACTTTCACCCCCCCTTTCCAGTCCGGACACTTTCACCCCCTTCCTTTCCCAGGCCAATTTTCAGCTTTTCAGCGCTATCACATTTGAATGACAATTGTGCGGTCATGCAACACTGTACCATATGAATGTTTTAGCATTTTTTTGAGACAGATAAAGCTTTATTTTGGTGGCATTTATTCACCACTGGGATTTTTATTTTTTTTGCTATGTAAATGAAAAAGTCCAAAATGTTTGAAAAAAAGTTTTTTCTTATAAAAATTTTGCAAATAAATAATATTTCATCATAAATCTTGGTCAAAAATTATTTTGTTATCTTTTTAGTAAAAAAAAAAAAATAACCCAAATTAGTTTATAACCAAAAATTATAATTTTTAAACATTTTGTTTTACATTTTTTTTTTTTTTATATTATATTATTTTTTTTTTTTACTGTCACCCTACATACAGTGTCACCCTATGCACTGTACTACTTGTGGGGGATGATGAAGATTTTTTTTTTTTTTACACTGATTGCTTTTTACACCCATAAAGGCTGTAAACGCAATCATTTCTCCTTCTCTCTGGCTGCATTCTTGCAGCAATTGAGAACTACTGAGTGAGCTGTGATTGGTCACAGCTTGTCACATGGTACAAGGCTGCTGCGAATAGCCCTGTACCATGTGACCTCTGTGATCATTCACAGATTTCACACGTAGTAAGCAATGATGTCAGAAGTGACATTTTGCTTACTACTCTGCATGTGATCACTGATTGGCCAATCAGTGATCACATGATCGGGACCTCGCAGAGAGGTCCCATACGATGATCAGTGTTCCACTGTGTCCAGCACAGCGGGCATCGCGTTGCTGCGCGCTCCCAGGGAGCGCGCACAAGCAGGGGGCGGGGAGGCTGTTTATAAACAGGCCACCCGACCCCTGCACTGCTACCGTCCAGCCGTTTATATACCGTGGGGGGTTGTTAAATAAATTCCAGGAGGGGCCACCAGGGGCAATCACAGGCAGTTGGAGGCAGGAAGAAGGGAGGTCTCACCAGTATAAGGCTGAGTGCTGGTCTGTGCTCTCAAAGGACTGCTCAGGAGGAGGGTCAGGGAATCTGATCTGCTCTTAGTGTTTTCAATCTCTCTGCTGATGATATCTCCATCCTCATCCTCCTCGGAAGGGATCCTCATGTGTCTCTCCGTCGGCTCCTCTTGAACAGCCACCCCCCTCATGCTGTCCTCCATCTCCTTCAGCTCCTCTCCCAGCTTCTCAATGCTCAGATGAGTCCCGTTGGCCTCGGCCGGAGCTCGGTCTAGGAGTTCATCTATCAGGCTGTCTACAGACTCCGCCGTCTCCCACTTAGAGGATGCCCAGTGCTGTGGATCTCTGTGAGGACCACCTTTCTCCTCCGGTCCATTCTCTGTACCCATTACCAGTTCCTCAACCTCTGTTCTGGAGGGTCTGCTGTCCTCCACCGGTTCACGTTTCACTTTCTTCACTTCTACGTCTTCGGTGCGCCCAGGATGTGAGGCCACCCGCTGTGTGCACCACCCAAATACCCCTGTTCCTCTGCTATGGAGCCATTCATGAGAACGGGCCCTGCATTACCATCATGAGATGTTTCTGTGTGTCCTCCATCTAGCACCCCTCCCTGACCTCCCGCTCCCTGCCCTTCCTCCTCCTGTAAGCTTCTTTTCTTAGTCCTCGGGGTGACATTGTGCCTCCGCCCCTCCCGCTCTTTGCTCTCCTGGGTTCTGGAGGAAGGGGCAGGTGGGGAGAAGTAGTCCGGCGATACCGTGACTTCATCTGGAGTAGAGGGGGACAGGCTACGGGGGCTGGGTTCCTCCCCATCGTAGGGAGCCGACCAGACCCAACAGGCCCGAGTACATCGGTCTATTCCGGCCCGGGCTTCTTGCAGGTACTCTAAATAATTGGAATCCAACTCAGCCACTTCGTCCCACGACAAGGAGCCATGGCGAGGACTTCCGAAGGTGGAGTCTGATGAAGAGAAGCTGGAGGACCTCTGAGAAGGGCTATCAGGGGTCTGACGCATGAAGAAACCCATCCGGGAGGGGGTGGAAGGTCTTGGCACAGTGTTGACAGACGACGTATCAATGCTCGGGCTGCCATGAGCTGAAAAAAACAGACACAGTGACATTCTTTACTTCACATATGTGCTTACTGCTCTTCTAGATCAGCCCATTACATACTCTGCTACAGATGCAGACTGTCTATCATGACAGCTCTCCGCTATACAGTGAGGAACACAAGTATTTGAACCCCCCTGCGATTATGCAAGTTCTCCCACTTAGAAATCATGGAGGGGTCTGAAATTCACACTGTAGGTGCATTCCCACTCTGAGAGACAGAATTGAAAAAAACTATTCAGGAAATCCCATTGTATGATTTGTAAAGAATGTATTTGTCTTGCACTGCTGAACAGAAGTATTTGAACACCTAAGAAACAGCAAGAATTCTGGCTCTCAAAGACCTGTTACTGCGCCTTTAAAAAGTCCACCTCTACTCCATTCAATCTAACTTAGTAGCACCCGTCTGAGCTCTTTAAAGACACCTGTCCACCCCACAGTCAGTCAGACGCCAACTACTACCATGGGCAAGACCAAAGAGCTGTCAAAAGACACCAGAGACAAAATTGTGGATCTCTACAAGGCTGGAAAGGGCTACGGGGCAATTGCCAAGCAGCTTGGTGAAACTAGATCAACTGTTGAAGCATTGTTAGAAAATGGAAGAGGCTAAAGACGACTGTCAGTCTCCCTCGGACTGGGGCTCCATGCAAGATGTCACCTCGTGGGGTATCACTGATGATAAGAAAGGTGAGGAATCAGCCCAGAACTACAAGGGAGGAGCTGGTCAATGACATGAAGAGAGCTGGGACCACAGTTTCAAAGGTCACTGTCGGTAGAACACTACGCCGTCATGGTTTCCAATCATGCATTACACGGAAGGTTCCCCTGCTCAAGTCATCACATGTCCAGGCCCGTCTGAAGTTTGCCAATGACCATCTGGATGATGCAGAGGAGGCATGGGAGAAAGTCATGTGGTCAGATGAGACCAAAGTAAAACTGTTTGGTCTAAACTTCACTCGTCGTGTTTGGAGGAAAAAGAAGGATGAGTTGCATCCCAAGAACACCATCCCTACTGTGAAGCATGGGGGTGGTAACATCATGCTTTGGTGGTACTTTTCTGCGAAGGGGACAGGACGACTGCACTGTATTAAGGAGAGGATGAATGGGGCCACTTATTGTGAGCAACAACCTCCTTCCCTCAGTCAGAGCATTGAAGATGGGTCGTGGCTGGGTCTTCCAACATGACAACGACCCGAAGCACACAGCCAGGAGAACCAAGGAGTGGCTCCGTAAGAAGCATATCAAGGTTCTGGAGTGGCCTAGCCAGTCTCCACACCTAAATCCAATAGAACATCTTTGGAGGGAGCTGAAACTCCGTGTTGCTCAGCGCCAGCCCCGAAACCTGACAGATCTAGAGGAGATCTGTGTGGAGGAGTCGGCCAAAATCCCTGTTGCATGCAAACCTGGTCAGGAACTACAGGAAACGTCTGACCTCTGTAATTGCAGACAAAGGCTTCTGTACCAAATATTAACACGGATCTTCTCAGGGGTTCAAATACTTCTGTTCAGCAGTGCAAGACAAATATATTCTTTACAAATCATACAATGGGATTTCCTGAATTTTTTTTTTTAAATTCTGTCTCTCAGAGTGGGAATGCCCCTACAGTGTGAATGTCAGACCTCTCCATAATTTCTAACTGGGAGAACTTTCAGAATCGCAGGGTGTTCAAATACTTCTGTTCCTCACTGTAGGTACAGGGTCCACCCACCTCATCACATGACACACAGCTCTCCACTATAGGTGCTGGGTCCACCCACCTCATCACATGACACACAGCTCTCCGCTATAGCCACTGTGCCCACCCACCTCATCACATGACACACAGCTCTCCGCTATAGCCGCTGGGTCCACCCACCTCATCACATGACACACAGCTCTCCGCTATAGCCACTGTGCCCCACCCACCCCATCACATGACACACAGCTCTCCACTATAGCCGCTGGGTCCACCCACCTCATCACATGACACACAGCTCTCCACTATAGCCGCTGGGCCACCCACCCCATCACATGACACACAGCTCTCCGCTATAGCCACTGTGCCCACCCACCCCATCACATCACATGACACACAGCTCTCCGCTATAGGCGCTGGGTCCACCCACCTCATCACATGACACACAGTTCTCTGCTATAGCCACTGGGTCCACCCACCTCATCACATGACACACAGTTCTCCGCTATAGCCACTGTGTCCACCCACCCCATCACATGACACACAGCTCTCCGCTATAGGTGCTGTGCCCACCCACCTCATCACATGACACACAGCTCTCCGCTATAGGTGCTGGGTCCACCCACCTCATCACATGACACACAGCTCTCCGCTATAGGCGCTGTGCCCACCCACCTCATCACATGACACACAGCTCTCCGCTATAGGCGCTGGGTCCACCCACCTCATCACATGACACACAGCTCTCCGCTATAGGCGCTGTGCCCACCCACCCCATCACATAAACACACAGCTCTCCGCTATAGGTGCTGGGTCCACCCACCTCATCACATGACACACAGCTCTCCGCTATAGGCGCTGTGCCCACCCACCTCATCACATGACACACAGCTCTCCGCTATAGGCGCTGGGTCCACCCACCTCATCACATGACACACAGCTCTCCGCTATAGGCGCTGTGCCCACCCACCCCATCACATAACACACAGCTCTCCGCTATAGGTGCTGGGTCCACCCACCTCATCACATGACACACAGCTCTCCGCTATAGGCGCTGTGCCCACCCACCCACCTCATCACATGACACACAGCTCTCCGCTATAGGTGCTGGGCCACCCACCTCATCACATGACACACAGCTCTCCGCTATAGGTGCTGGGTCCACCCACCTCATCACATGACACACAGCTCTCCGCTATAGGCGCTGTGCCCACCCACCCCATCACATGACACATAGCTCTCCGCTATAGGTGCTGTGCCCACCCACCTCATCACATGACACACAGCTCTCCGCTATAGGCGCTGTGCCCACCCACCCCATCACATGACACACAGCTCTCCGCTATAGGCGCTGTGCCCACCCACCTCATCACATGACACACAGCTCTCCGCTATAGGCGCTGTGCCCACCCACCTCATCACATGACACACAGCTCTCCGCTATAGGTGCTGGGTCCACCCACCTCATCACATGACACACAGCTCTCCGCTATAGGCGCTGTGCCCACCCACCCCATCACATGACACACAGCTCTCCGCTATAGGTGCTGGGTCCACCCACCCCATCACATGACACACAGCTCTCCGCTATAGGCGCTGTGCCCACCCACCCCATCACATGACACACAGCTCTCCGCTATAGGTGCTGGGTCCACCCACCTCATCACATGACACACAGCTCTCCGCTATAGGCGCTGTGCCCACCCACCCCATCACATGACACACAGCTCTCCGCTATAGGCGCTGTGCCCACCCACCCCATCACATGACACACAGCTCTCCGCTATAGGCGCTGTGCCCACCCACCTCATCACATGACACACAGCTCTCCGCTATAGGCGCTGTGCCCACCCACCCCATCACATGACACACAGCTCTCCGCTATAGGCGCTGTGCCCACCACACCTTATCGGACATTCAGCACAATACATGTCTCTTGCATTCCCTCACCTTTGGACCACGTGGCATGTTCCTCCTCTCTCTCCGTGCACACCAGGCGGTCCTTGCGGCAACATTGCGGGATGAGGGAGAGGAATTTATCGGCGGTCTTGGAATAAAGATCTAAGTCCTTCACGGCTCGTCTCTGACTCAGCATTACATGATTACACGGGATCAGATACCTGAGCAGGAAGAACACATCGATACGTATTACTACATACCTTGGTTTTAACAGAAAATGCAGAACCCCTGAAAACGATTGTGTACCAGTAGGGATGCACTGAAATTTCAGCGGCCGAAAACAGCCCTATCGGCATTATCGGCTGATACCGGTGCCAATAATGAGATACCCGGCTTCACTGAGGGGCAGACTAATTGGCCGGGGGGTTTAGGGGGCTGTGTGATAGGTAAGCAGTGTATACAGACAGGCCCCTCACCGCCGCTAAATGTCATTGACGTTTCTTTAAACACAATTGCCGGCTTTTTTTTTTTTTAATTCACTCCGAAAAGGAGATGTAATTTGCCCTACCACAAAAGTAAACAAAGGGGCGGGGTCACTTTGTTTACTTTAGTGGTATGGCGAATGACATCTCCTTTTCGGAACTATAAAGTGAAGAAAAAAAAAAAAGCGGCAATTGCATTTAAAAACCGGCAATGAAATGAAGCGGTGGCAAGTGCGGGAGCCCGTCTGTATACACTGCTCCTCTCCTTGCACACACAGCCCCCCCTCCCCTCTACAATGAGGACCTGTCACTCATATGCTATCACATAGGTTACTATTAGTCCCCTTTGTGATAGCAATAAAATCAAAAGTTAAAAAAAAAATAAATAAAAAAACACACATTAAAAGTAAAAAAAAATACAAAAAAAACAAAATTTGAGCCTCCCCACCCCCACATATACAGACATTTCAGTTTTCGGCCAAATGCACCCTGAATTTTTGGTTTTGGCACCAGAATTTTCAAATCAGTGCACCACTATATACCAGGAATATCAGATGACGGACAACAGCAGAGAAATGCGGTGCAGGTACAACCAGCTGCCATCGAGGATTATTCATCTTGACATCTTGTAGCCCCCCCATTGTATAAAGTATAACC